ATGGACAGAGAAACAGGACATTTGGAAAGGGAATGGCCCATCTTGGATTTAAATCCAGACCTATCTACTCCTAAGCCCATACTCAGTCCATGAAGCTACAGCTCTTGCCCTCAGGAAGTTTCCAGGCTACTAGGGAAGAAAGATACAGATATAAGGGTCTCTACCAGGGGTCCACAAACTACGGCCAGAAGGCCCCCAGTTCCACCCATCACACGTTTTTGCTTCATGGCATGTAAAAATTATGTGAAATTCAGATTTTAGTGTCCATAAATAAAGTTTTATTGGAAGCCTGCTTCACCCATTCAGTACTCTTCTCAGGCTGACTTCCTGGCTACAGCAGCCCAGTTGAGTGGCTGTGGCAGAGATACAGCCCGCAAAGCCCAAAATATTTACTCTCTGCTCCTTACAGAAAAGGTCTGATGGCTCCTGTTCTGTACTCCAAGGTGGACCGCTATCTATCAATAGGAGAGGTGTTTAAAAAATGTTCTGGGAGTTAAGAAGAGAGGAAACTAACATGTATTTAACTCACAGCGAGAGGTGCTAGAAGGATATACAGGTGTGCTCTGTTTTAAGACGCATAGATGCATGAAAACGCAGATTTTAAAGCAGATAAATTAAAAGGCAGTTACTTGCATAACAAATTTTCCTTTTCATTTTGTAAAAGGGATGCACCATGGGGTTCCTTTATAGAATGAGCCTCTATAATGTGTGCTAATATGATGCCACTTACAAGTACTCTATCCCTAATAACTTTCCAAGAACATATCCATTGTGTACAGTGAGGCTTCCCTATAATCTTTTGTTGTTGTTGTTCCTGGTAGGGAAGGTTTCCTACTTCAGAAAAGTAATGGAACTGACCTTGTCAATTCAGGGCGGGGAGTAAGTGCTCTGCCATCTCAGGCTTTGCCTGGCGAATAGAAAGGCTGTGGGTTCCGAATGTCCACATTATGTGAACTTAAAGTGCCAGGAGAATTTTACCTTTTTAGCCAAGCTCCTCTCTGTAGCTGCGCTCAGAGTCCTTTCGTGTAAACTCCTCACTGTTCTATCACAGCATTTCAGACACAAGATAAATTAATAAAACTTACATTTGTTGTTACCATCCTGATAAAATGCTGAAGCAATATTTACAAAGAGAAGTGTTTTTCTCAAAAAAAAAAAAAAAATAGCTTAACCGAATTACAGTGTAAACAGGTGCAAGTCACATAATATCTAAATTCGGGTTCTCCCAGGCCAAATAGGAGGTGGTTGTGCCGCCAATTGGACTTAGGATCCAGCTCCTTCCCTCTTTGGGTCCTGAGCCTGAATCTTCGAACAGCTTCGTGGTGTTACGCAATTGCTCTTTTTCAGAGATGCATAAAACGGAAGCCTTGACTATTCATAGCCAACTTAGGAGGAGCCGAAATCTTTCAAGAAGTTTCTCGCCTGGTACGATTTTGAGGGTAACTACGTGTTTCTGAACACATCCAATTAATCTGGATTTCACATGGCGACTCTTTTAAAAGAGCTGTCTCGCGGCTTTTGTTTTCATCCTCGGTGGTGACTGTATTTTAGAAGTAGACAAATATTCCTGGTATATAAGCCTGAATATTTTTCAGGGTTTTCTTGTTTTTTGTTTTTTGTTTTTTGGTTTTTTGGTTTTTGGTTTTTTTGGTGGTAAAAGAAGCTTAAATGGAAATGCAGGGGCAGAGAAAACCGTGCCTGGGGAAGTCCTGTGCGGTGTCGTCAAATGGCGCAGCAGATCTGTGTCACGGGGCTGCTAATGGATGTGGCACGCAGTTCGTGAAGGGGCAAAGTGAGAGAGACACAGGGGGATGGTGAGAAGCAGAGCCAATGTTAAGGGCAGGAGCCCTGCATGGTTCTGAGGTAGGATTCCTGGACAAACCGCATCGGCAACAGGGTCGGGGTGGGCGGGGGAGGCGGCTTGCCTGCCCCTGGACACGGTCACTTGTCATTCACGTTCAGCCATTTCTGAAGCGGATCCCTGGATGGGAACACACATTTAATCCGTCCGTGAGGTTCTTTAAAGAGATGTCTCTGGTCATCTCCCCCTGAGGTCAGGAGCACTGTAACAGCACACAACAGCTAGAAAGCTCCATTGCATTCTTGAACTCAAGCTGACTCACTTTCTCCCCTGCCCCCGCCCTTTTCTCTACTGTCTTGGAATTGTTGGTACCATGTTTTTTAATATAATATGTATGTTAATATATATATAGTAGAAGGTACAGACTATAAAACGAATGGATAAATACTGAACAAAATACGTTAGTTCAGTTTTCTTTTTCCCTGGTGGTAGTTTAAAAGTTTTCAAAATTAGGACTAATGGATATAGAAAAATGGGATGTAAATTTCCATGAATTTTTATGATCAAACAGAAGACAGACCCCTGGGGCTTGGCACTGCTATTAGGGAAGCAGGGAATGGTAAATTCAAGGGGAGAAATTTGCAAAGCCCTGGGTTTCGACCGAAAATAGAACATACTCCACTCCCCCCTGAACATCTCCCTCCTACCAAACAGCATCTGAGCAGATTTCATTTCACAAATGGAAATGGGAAGTGGGACGCACACACATTTTTTCAAAGTGATTTCATGAAGAGTGGGTCTGTTTAATTGGGTTTTCGGAGCCAGGATTAATATTATAAACTAGGGAGTTCTGTGATGTGCCCATGAAGTTGGCTTTGCCATACCACCTGCCTCCTGGAAGAAGGCAGAGGAAAGAGCCGCTTCTCAGAAGCCATGCTGCTTCTGCCTTGGCCTCCTCACCGAGGTAACACGCGACCAGCCTGTACCAAGCACCCAGGCTGCACCCAAGCCGCACATAACGTACAAAAGATCTTCCCAAGCTCAAGGTCACATCTAGAGCATGCCTGGGATATTTTTTCAACCCTAATTTATGTGATTTTCTAATACGTTTAGCATTTGCCCTCCCTTGTCTCCATCCTGCTTATTAAGGTAAATTTGCATAGAAATGGGATCTTGGATTTCAGGACCATTCACCTGACACTTGCTCTCCTGAGGTGACCAATATCTGCTGTGGATACCATGACGGTGACCCGCAGACACCACATCTTCCCACAAACCCAAGGCAAGGGCCTTAATTAGGGGAGGCTTTTCATGTTAAAGCCACAAGGTGAAGCAAATCAGCAAAAGCATTTAGCACTCACCAAGGAGGGCAGAATACTCCTTCCTGTCGAGTGGGCCATCCAAGGTCACTGTTTTAATTTGCCTTAGATGGACAGATCCTGAAGAAAGGATGCAAAAAGTATATATGTATTTTTGTTTGGAAATAAATTTTGGATGGTGATAAAGCTCAGACAATTAAGTCTGACATTTTACTTTGGCTCCTGAAATATTTTTTGCTTAATATCTACCTTCAGGATGGGTAATCGTCATCTCTATAAATTGCCTTTGGATGACTAAGCAAAGGTGAAAAATCAGAGAACCAAGGCCCTTGCTGTGACCACGGTGGCAGTTGGCTTTAGTCCCCCGAATTCTGTGTGCTGCACTCTCCCATCGGCAGCCACCTTCTTCATTTACCCAAATCTTGTCCCCTGGGTGGAAATTCCCACTGAAAGTATGTTTGTGGTCCTGGTTTACTCGTTACTAAAAGCCATTGGGTGTGAGGTGACTAACCAAAAGGGTTTCAGACTTAGCCAAATTCTGATAAACATAAATGCCAAACAACAGCTTCCAAGACTGTCCTAACAGCAAACTGTCTTAGCAGAGAACCAGAGGATTTGTGGGTCATGGAGAATAAACACCAAATCTCAGAGAGGAAAGTTCATAAAAGATGGGAGAAATCAGAAGAAAACTCGGGCTGCTTTTGGCCAGTCTACCTTTGCTGAGGATAAATTCATTCCATACAATTATTTTTTTAAGGATTTTTTTTTTTATCTGTTTAGAGAGCGAGAGAGCGAGAGAGAGAGCGTGTGTGCAAGTGTGTGCACAGCGGTGGGGCAGAGGGAGAGGGAGACTCCATGCCCAGTGCTGAGCCTGATGTGGGCCTTGATCTCACGATCCTGAGATCATGATCTGAGGAAAATCAGGAGTTGGAGGCTCAACTGACTGAGCCTCCCAGGCACCCCTATTATTAGTTGATATTATGATCCCCACTTGACAGATGAGAAAACTGAGACCCCAAAAGGTTTAGCTATTGCACAAAATCATACAGCTTGTCACCAACAAAAGCAGGACTCTTTCTTACAGACATGCTTCAGTGCCTCCTAAAAAAATCCAAAAAACAAAAACAAAAACAACCCCAACTCTATTTCGTTTATAGGCTAACTTTTTTATTTTACACAGGCCTCATGTATTCCGGGGCGGGGTGGGGGGATAATATTTTAACTCGATGCAGAAGTATCAGAATGAAATTTTTCAAATTGTACTTGGCATAGACTCTAATAATGAAACAAGGAGGCTGACTAAACGAGTCCCCTGCCTCCAGCACCAGATCACGTTCCACTCTCAAGCCATGTGGAAGGACACTGGGTTCCCCACTGGCCGATGCTGCCTAATTCTCTTAAATGATTCAGATGTAAAAGAGAAAATGGCATCTGTCTAATTAACACTGCCTGGTTAAATGTAGCCGCCAAGGGACAGCCTCAGGACGATGTTTACAGAACAGTCTTTCCAGCCCCTCGAGCCTCAAGTTAGAGATGATAGCGAGTCTTCCGTCCTTATCAACCGGAAACAGCGATGCCTGCAGAAAGGGTGACAGGCTAGGCAGGCAAAGGGAGATGAAAGGAAGGGGAAAGGCATTGCCGGCTCTGTTCCCTGTTGCTGGCCCATGGGGATTCAGGGAAGAAGGGGAAGCACATCCTACAGGCTTCCCTCCCACAGCAATTCCCAGGATTTGAAAGTCCTCCCCGTGGGCCTGGACCTCCCTTTCAGGCCTGGAGGCCTTGGGCCAGGACCCTACCGCCCGCTCAGCCTGTCACACAGCCCGCAGCTCTGCTCTCTTCTCTGGCCAGAGGGCATAATGAGAACGTTACTTGTCTTCCAGCTTCACGTGGGGACATGGAAGCCATCGCCAAGTTTGACTTCACCGCCTCAGGCGAGGACGAACTGAGCTTTCACACTGGAGACGTTCTGAAGGTGGGTGCCGTGGGGCCCCCTGGGGCGCCCTGGGGCGTTTAGGTTACTATGATCTGGTCCCCAAGTTCACTAATAACCCATGCCCTTGTTTCTTAAGCGCTACACACAGTTCCTTTCAAAAAGAGAAGTTCACTTCCATCAGAAGGGCTCCTTCTGGGCTCCCCACCCCCACTCCGGGATCCTGTTAGCAGGCTTGGCGGTGGACAGAAGTCACCAGCCTTGTCTTGAGATGCTTGTGGACTGGAGAGGGGAAGAAAGCCAACGAAGGGCTCTGACAGATATTCTCGTCTAAGTGCTTGGGGAGCGCAGGTGAGGGAACAAGTGGCCCCACCTTGCGGAGACAGGGTGGCAGGAACTCGGTGGTCAGAGAATGCAGGGAGCCTGAGTTGGACTTTGACCTTGAGCTCAGTGGTGGGGGTGGGGGTGGGCGTTCAGTGAGCTTTGTGAGGAACTTAACAGGAAGGTGCAGGGAGACAGCCTGGGAAAAACAGCTGGAGAGGACATGGGCCAGCAGAGGCCACGCACACCGGCCCCATTAAGGACGCCCTAGAACTTGCCTAACACCCACACTTGAGCTGTAGTGGCTGCTTGGAGGGCTGTAGAGGCCTAGGACTTCCACATTCCACGCACCGTACTTACAGGCTCAAGTCCTATATCTTAGGCCCTGTTTGGAGCAAAACACAAGCCCTTACACAGGCCCTCTGAGGAGTCTGTGATGTTCGTGCCCCCCCTCCCACCTTGCCTCAGAGCACCCCCAGAAATCCCGACCCCTGGTCCTCAGCAGCCCACTTGGGCCTTCTCAGACTGCACAGCAGCACTGAGGCCAGGCTCTCCATGAAGAAGTACGCTTGCTGTCGAGGGAACCTTGGCAGAACGGGACAGGGTGACTCAGAAAGTGTCCCTGGAGCACAGACCAGGTAGGAGGACTTGGTTTGGAACTTGAACACCCCCGGGACTCATCCTTCTAACTGTGGTCCCCTTGCAAAGATCTAGTAATGTAATTGTGAAGAGGGTGTCTTCAGTGCTGGAGCTTCTCAAGGTCAAAGTGTTACCTGGGCCACTGACCCAAGAAAAGGTGACCTTCACTTCGGTGGGATCTTACCAAGGTCACAGAGGGATCTGCCTCATGGTGAGCAGCCCCTCCCTTCTCTATGGGATAGTGTGACCATGGGATTATCAACCACTATAGAGTGTCCTCACTCTAGGGGCCAGGGGCCAACCCCACCCCTCATCTCCCATTGCAAACAAAACCTAATATCTGGCTCAAGGGTTTCCTATTCCTCAGAAAAGGAAAAGGGAAAAAAAAAAAATAAACAGCTTTCCTCAACTCTGCTTCTCAATCTACCTCCTGATGTCGTTCCTCTCCTTCACTAGTAACACTGGGAGTTCTCTGTGCTGGTGCCTCCACTTCCTCACTTCCCATTTACTCCACTGGAACTTTCTGGAATCTGCCTGTTACCCCCAACACTCCCTGTAAGCCCACCAGTGATCTCTCTTTTTTTTTAGTATATATTTTTTAAGATTTTATTTATTTTTTTGGACAGAGACACAGCAAGAGAGGGAACACAAGCAGGGGGAGTGGGAGAGGGAGAATAGGCTTCCCGTGGAGCAGAGAGCTCTATGTGGGGCTCTATCCCAGGACCCTGGGATCATGACCTGAGCTGAAGGCAGACACTTAATGACTGAGCCACCCAGGCACCCCCACCAGTGGTCTCTCTCTCTCTCTCTCTCTCTCTCTCTCTCTTTTTTTTAAGATTTTATTTATTTATTTGACAGATGGAGATCACAAGTAGGCAGAGAGGAAGGCAGAGAGAGAGGAAGGGAAGCAAGCTCCCTGCTGAGCAGAGGACCCGATGCAGGGCTTGATCCCAGGACCCTGGGATCATGACCTGAGCTGAAGGCAGAGACTCAACCCACTGAGCCACCCAGGCGCCCCACCAGTGGTCTCTTTAATGTGGACTGTAATGACCTTACTGGAGCATCTGTGGAATTTGACACTGTTAACTGTCCCTCTTCTGGATCTGAATGGGGTTCAGCCTCTCTCCTAAACATGCACTCTGCCCTGACTATTTTTCTTTCTTGAGATCTCTTAAGCAATCCCCTTCCTCACAAGAGAGGGGTCTGATGCAGTAAAAAGGAGTTTAGAGCTGGTAAATCTGAGTTTGAATCCCTGCTGACTAGCTGTGTGTCCTTGGGTCAGTCTCTTACCCCCTCTGAGCTTCACTGTCTTTATCTGTAAGTGGAGACCATATCTATTTTTCAGGGTTCTGGAAAGGATTAGAGGTAATGGCCCCAGCTTAAAGTGGATGTTTCATAAACGGTTGCCGTTATTTCAACATTACTCATTCCTGCTGCCACAGCCCCTGGACTAACTTCATCCCCTCCTGTCTCTTACTCCTTCAACATACTGCTCTCAGGAGGATCTTTCTGGAAGACAAATCAGGTCAGATCACTTCCTTACTCGAAAGCATTCAGTGGTTCCCCATTACCAACTGATTGAAATTCAAGCCACCTTGTCCCAACCTCCTCTCTAACCCACCAAGCTCTTGCCCTTGAACATGCACACATATGCACACCCACGCACACACACACACGTGTACATGCACACCTTTGTGTGTGCAGTGCCCCAGGTCACACTGCCATATACACACTGTGCTGTGTCAGGTTCTCCCCGTACTCCGAATGCCTCTTTCCTGCACACACGTATTTGACCATGCCTGGGAAGCCTCACTCCCTCTGCTCTTCCGATGGCTCCAGCAAAATTAATCACTCCCGCTTCAGCTCTCCCACAGCGTTGTACATGCACACCTCATTCAAGGCACTGACGATCTCCCGTCCCATGAGTGTTATCCACGAGCAGCCATGCCTCTGTGCCCTTGCGCACCCTCTACACCCGTCTCTCATCACAGCCCTTACCCTGTGGGATCCTGACTGCTGGCTCCGCCCGAGTCCAAACCAACAGAGAGTTGACCCTCTCTAATATTTGATGAGTGAATGAGTGGTTGATTCTTCCACTGGTCTGTGAGCTCCCTGAGAGCAGAGCCCATGCCTGGTTCAGCTCTGTGTCTTCACAGCAGTGCCCTACACAAGTGCTCGGTGCCAATGACTTGAATTATTAAACTGCGTTTCTGCAGGCTCGTGTAGAAGTCCATCAGAAGGGCAGACCTCTCCTTATTTTCAAATTCTGTCCCTTGCCACTTAGCGGTGGAAAGGAAAGTGGTGAGGGCCTGTTGGCTGAGCCCTACCCTGTGTCTGCATCGTGGTGGCTAGTGCTGTGCCTGTGGGTCTCTCCGAGCCACCGCAACCCTACTCCACCACTCCAGAGATGGGTCACGAGCCCTAAGATCTTGCAAGTGCTTCCAAAGGCGGCTCTTGACTGCCCCAGTAATCTACTCCTGGGATCTCTTTCCTCCTAGGCTTTTCCTGCTAAAAGACTAAACAGACTTTCTCACTAGAAGGCACAAACAATATCTGACTAGCTCACCACTAACCCACCCACTCCAGACTGTTACTTCCCCAGGACAAAGGCCTCAGGTTATTCATATCTGTATTCCCAGCACCTAAGTGCAAACAGCAGGTGCTCACTAGATGACAGGATGGTGAACAAGATGGTGGACGGGGAACTCCAGCCAGATAACTCCATCCCGCTTCTCCTGTGAGAGAAACATTTGACATCAGGAGCTGGAAGTTTCATGTTCGTGCCTCAACTCCACCCCCCACCCCATCCCAGACCTGTAGCTACACACAGCACCGGACTTGCATTTCCCTCTGAAATTGGCCAGTCGTTTTTAAAAAATGTCTCTTGACCCAGTCCATTTCTACCTGCTTCTGTAATGTGTCCAGCTCAACTCCATTTCTTCCTACTAAAACAGTGACCTGAAAGCACTTAGAGTTAATCCTATGTCAATTAACTTCTCCAATACTTCAGATTTCTGCTCTGCCTCTAAGAGCTATAATTCCATCCAATTTTAAAATTCTCCCAACTGTACATTTTGTCCTCTTCCCACGTCTAACTTATTCTCAGGCCATGTAACCCAGAAAATTATTCTCGTAAGCAACATTATAAGAATTAAGACACAGTAAGGTGAAGTCTAAAACCTCATGTGCTCAGACTGAACCCCTTGCTTAGGTTTTCATGATGGGGACAAGAGATAGGGGGAACCGAATAGGCAGAGAGATGAGAAGAACAGGAAGTATGGGGCCCTGGGCCAACAACGGCAGGAAGAAACCACCTCCCCCCAAACACTCTTCTTTGCAGAAAATGAGATTCTTTTAAGACCTTGCCTTCTATACACCATAAAAAGCCTGTAAGTTCACCTCTCTGGGAACACAATCTCAGGCAGACGGAGCACCAGGTGGTGGGAGAAATGGCCGGCATTGTGGGATAATCTTTCAGTTGCTACAGGAGGTAGATGGGTATGAGCCACAATTACTAAAATTACAGCTGGTTTCAGGTTGGAGAACTAAGTTACAAAGTTGGTTCTTACCGTGATGAGCCAATTTCCAATTGGCCTCTTTTATCCCTGCTCACCTTGTACTTGACATTGGCTACCCAGCCCAAACATCACACTCCTGTGTGATGGGAGAAAGGAATTCCAAAGCCATATATTGGTGGGGGGGTGGCGAAGGCATGGAGTGAAATGTCCTTATGTTCTTTGTGTGCCAAGTTTCCTAGTTCTTTTTCTGACCTAGATTTTCAGCTCCCCACCCCACTCTACCCCCCTCGGCATACACATACCCACGCGTCCTTAGTGATACCAGCAGTCACATTTGATGTTAGAAACTATAAAGTTTTCTGTCCTCAGCAATTCTAGAACCCAAATATGGGACACACTTTTATTTCTTCAGAACAAGTAATTAAATTCAAAACATACACATATAAGACTTTAAAGAACTTATAAACCCTACCATGTCCTTCAGAGCTGGAGTCCTCCCTCCTAAAAATACCACATTTTGCAGAATTGTGTTTTTAAAAACAGCGTACCCTTTCTGAAGGACTTCAAGGTAACCCTAACCCTGATCCTTGCATCAGCTCTGTGAGGGGTTAGCTGGTTGTTACTGTCCCCATTTTTCAGGTGGCTCGTTGACTTGTCGAAGGTCATATAGCTGGTGACAGGGCCAAGCTAGAAACTAGGTTTTCTCATTCCAAGCTCAGAGTGCTGGCCCCTTTCTTCCACCTCGGGGTGACACTAGAAATATCAGTTAGTGAGCTCTCTTCATTTCTTCCCGTCTCTGGAAGAGAGAAACCTGTGGGACCCGGACTTAACTCCACCCGCTTTAAGATGACTCTCCAATCCCGAACGCCAGCCCCAACGTCTCTGCTGAGTCCAGACACACACCTTCAGCTGCTCCCCGAGCTTTTCTTTTCAGACGGTCCCAGGGGCAACTTGGATTCACCCACGTGCAGTCTGAGGCCCGTGAGCCCTTCTTCAGACCCACTCCTCCTCCTGTACTTTCTATTTTAGCCAAGGTATCACCACCCACTCAGTCTTCCAAGGCCGAAATCTGGAACCCTCCCAGAATCCCCTTCTCCCTTGGTTTGGAGAACAGTCATGCAATCCTGCACACTTTGCTTCCAGGTTCCTTTAAAAGAGCCCCTCGCCTCTCACCAGCATGGCTACCCTGCCTTCCTAGACCTCCCCCCTGCAATCCGTCTTCGCGCTCGGGCATAGAACTCTTTCTGGGCTCTAGCTCTTACTGTGTTCTTTCCCTTTCCTTCTGAGCTAAAGTCTCAGAAGCCTTTAGCGGCTCCCCATACATTTCAAGATAAAAGTCCAGACTTTTCTACGTGGGTCACATGGCCTTGTGCCTCTGCTTTCCCCTGGCTCTGCCCCCAGGGGCCACAGTCTCAACGCCCGCCAGGCCTAGGCCTTTCATTCCCAGAATGCACCCCACTTCCTCCCATCCCAGAAGTTCCTGCACCAGCAGACTTAGCCTGGGTTAACTCCTTTCGTTGCCAGGGCAACCCCAGGCCTCTCCTCCAGGCAGTCTTCCCTACCCATCTTCTGCTTTCCCCTTCAGCATAGCACTTCCATCCAATTAAGGCATCGTCAGCTGCCAGAAGCAGAAACTTGAATACGGCTGAACCAGCCTGCAGGTTGATCACTTCTCACACAAAGTCCAGAAGCAGGAGGGCTCCCGCGTGGCTCACTGGGGCTCAATGATATCGCCAAGCTTCTTTTCATCACTTGGCTCCGCCATCTCCATTCTTGTTCGAGTCCATGCCACAGACTTTAGAAACATTCTCAGTGGGGGATGGGGGCAAACATCTGTCTTTTAATAGTGAAACATTTTCTGAAATAACCAGAAGCCACATAGAGCCACATAGACTCATTTGAGTAATCAAGGGAAGCGATAACATTTGGGGTCACAGTCAACGAAGGACCATATAACCATGAGACAGAACTTCTGGTTTTGCTCGGGATCTGGCACTAAAAAGCAAGTTTAGAAAAGGCATCCCAAGTATCTTGAGTTACGTCCAAATTGTTTGTGAAACACATGGAGTGTGAACACAAAAAGTTACTGTTTTCAAAGCTGGCCCCACTGGATGTTTTAAGTTTTAATTGGCTTGTTTAAAGAAATAGGAACAAATTACATTTTTTTAAAAGGTCCTTAGTTCTGGCAGAGAAGAAGAAATCATGGGGTGGCCACTCCTGCCTTCCCAGCATTGGCTCAAATGAGGAGCATCAGGGGCTGAGATCTGGGACCCATGAATTTCCAAAGTATGCAGAGAATCCCTCGAGTGCTGAGTCAGGGAGGCCACACCATGGTGGGGTTCCATGTGTGGGCAGAACCCATGGTCAGAAATGCTCGGGGTCAAAGGAGCCAAATTCCAGAGAGAAACCTGTTGCCCCCCCCCCCCCTCCACTGGAGCGCCTGTGTGGTTCTCTTGGCCTTTTTCCCTCTAAATCCGAAAGGGTGTTTTTTACTCTGTAGCCCCCCCCTTTTTTTTTGCTTTGTGTCCTCCCTACAGTCTCTGTCCTTTCTTCTCTTCTGTGTAGATCTTAAGTAACCAAGAGGAGTGGTTCAAGGCGGAGCTTGGGAGCCAAGAAGGATATGTGCCCAAGAATTTTATAGACATCCAGTTTCCTGAGTAAGTATTTCCAGCCCGCTGACAGGGGCCTACCCACACACACTCCCCTTACTTTTTCAGCAGTCACTAAAATTATCTATGCATACCCAAGATACTGTCAAAACTGGTTGCCTCTGGAGTGGGAACCACGCCTCTGAAGGCCATGGTGGGAGGGAGATTTGCATTTCGCTGCATTCCCTTTTGAATCTTACACCATGTGCACGGATCACCTATTTTAGGTTTTATAAGCCGAACTCATCTATAATTGCAATCACAGGGTTTCCATGAGTTCCATCAGGGGCGCTGTTGGCCACCCCACGTCCAGATCTGTCCTTGTGGGCACATCCCCATTACCTCCTAAGGTCTTTATCCTCACCAGGGATCCCAAATAGCTCCCTGCCTTCCCTAAACCATGCTCAGATCCCTGAGAACCACTGGCGGGGAGAGGAAATTCCTTTCATCAAGAGGAAAAAGGAAAATAGAGGTTGGGTCTCGTTTGTCTCAAGAATTGACCACAAGGGTTAGATAGAAATCTAATCTCGGAGAGTCACTGTCTGGCTCAAAAGAGCGCAGGTCTGTTAGAAACCCAAAGTGCTCTTGATAACTCTGGTCAGGTGCAAGAGCGCCGCTCACCGTGAACCAGGGCCGGCCACTGAACCAGCAGAACGACCACCGACCTCAACCCTTGAGGCTGCCCTGTGATGATCTACTTTTGTTAAAGATTTTATTTATTTGAGAGAGAGAGAGAGAGAGAGAGAGAGAAGCGTGAGCAGGAGAAGGGAGAAGAGGAACACCCCGCCCAGTAAGGGAGCCCAGTGCGGGACTCGATCCCAGGACCTAGAGATCATGACCTGAGGGGAAGGCAGACACTTAACCAACTAAGCCACCTAGAGGCCCTTCTAGAAGACTACCCGCCACCCTCTTGCTCCTCAGACCTCCAGCCCCTCCCCCACAGCCCTCAAGGCTCGGGGCTCTTGCTTCCAGGATCACTGGGACAGAGAAAGCCACCAGAAAAGCCCCTCTACCCCAACCCCCCCGCTGACTCACTGCATCCACCCACCTCCTGCAACTGCGCTCAGACAAGGATGCCTTTCCTGCAGCTGTTTGGAAAGAATCGTCTGCTTCTAGCAGAAACTCCTCCTCCCTCTCTTGCACATCGGTTCTCTGTCTCTCTCCTGGGTCATTCCCATCAGCAAAGATGCTGCAATTTCTCCCATCTTCCCCAAAAAAACCAAAAAACCAAAATTTTTGATCCCAAGTCCCCTTGCAGTTACCACTGTCCTTCTTCCAGAGACTCATCTGTCCTCTCATCTCTAACTCCTTCCCACCCCCTGAAGTCTTTTTATCGCGGTCTCAGTGGGCTCTGGGGCCCGCTGGCGGATTCTGGTGTCTCTGCAGGATAGGACGGAAGCTCCCCAAGGGCAGGCTTTCCTGTCTGCTCTGCTCACCGCTGTGTCCCCCGCTCCCAGCAGAAGGCCAGCACATAGTAGGTATTTGGTAAAAACAGTTGAATGAACGAGTGAGTAGCTTTGGAATGATGGGTGAAAATATACCCCTGCCTGCGCGTTTAAAAAGTAGTGTGTGGACATTTTCGCCAGTTTTAAAGCCACGTATCAAATTCCAATTCGAGGGCGCCTGGGTGGCTCAGTGGGTTAAGCCGCTGCCTTCGGCTCAGGTCATGATCCCAGGGTCCTGGGATCGAGTCCCGCATCGGGCTCTCTGCTCAGCAGGGAGCCTGCTTCCCTTCCTCTCTCTCTCTGCCTGCCTCTCTGCCTACTTGTGATCTCTGTCTGTCAAATAAATAAATAAAATCTTTAAAAAAAAAAAAAAATTCCAATTCGAGGACAAATGTGTATTTTCCAGACAATCCCCTAACCACTCACTGCCTCGTCCAAAATCTTTCCTTCGAGGCACGGCTGCTGTGGAGCAGGCCCCGTTCCTTTCCCCAGCCCCATTACACTCCCTACACAAGGCAAGCTGTGGTGGTCACTTGTTCAGTCCTATGGCCAAGTACGGCAGACGCTCTGGAAGGATCTCCAGGCAGCTGGCGGCCAGAAACCCTCTACTTCAGGCCCCTCACGGCCCAACCACACTTCCCCTGCAGGGTCCGGTCTGGAATAAGGACATCCCTCCTGCCACTCCTATCTGGAGGTCAGGTTCCCAAATTCTAGAGAGCACGGGGACTGCTTACAAAGGACTCTGAAGCGTGTCATACCTTCAGCCTAAAGGGACGGACAGACTAGCCTTCCAGGGGCAGCCCTCGAAAAGCCACCTTGGAGGAAGGGACCCTGTCCCAGCCAGCACTGCTGAGTGATGGCAAACACTCATTTTTGCTCTGTGGCTGAGAGGTTTCTGGTTCCCTACGCTAAGGCCATAGCCTCTGTTTGCACGCAGGCTCTGCCACCTGCCACAGCACTGCCAGGGGCTGCCACCCCAACTGTCCCTGGAAAAAGGAGTTTCTCCTCCGTTCCTTCTTTTCCACAGTAAAGATGATCTTCCTGGATTTGGGGGAGGGCCCAGGAGCTGGCTGCGTAGACGCTGCTCTCTGGCGGCTGCTAGCCTGGCTCCACACCACCCAGATCCCCAGGGTCCCTGGGCTCCGAGGGGGCCCACTGAGCTCTCAGCCTGGGCGTGAACCCAAGGCTTCCCAGCTCCGGCCCCACAGCACCCGAAGGGGTTCCTGTCCTCCTGGTGCGTCATCTGTCCCTGCAGATCTTTCCTAGTGACATCCCTCACAGGGCTGCCAGCAGGAGGCTGCTTCCCGCAGTGAGTCACTCCCACGCTGTCCCATTTTGGTGCAGTGGCACATTTCCATGATTCAGGTTTTCCGAGCTCGAGAGAGGCTTCTCCTAGAGGGAAGGAACAAAGGGGAGCGCATCAGGGGAACACTCACTTGCTTTGCCTGGAAACTGCCTAGCGCACAGGTTTGGTTTCAGAGGCCCCAGCCCCTCCTCTCTTTCTGTCTGCACTCTACTGACCAGCGTCCCCGGCCTCCGTCCATTTGGGTCATCGCTTCTCCCCTTCCCCTTCCAAACACCCCAGCATCTCACCAAGATTCTCTGATTTTGTCTCATCCCATAGATGGTTTCATGAAGGTCTCTCACGACACCAGGCAGAGAACCTACTTATGGGCAAGGAGATTGGTTTCTTCATCATCCGGGCCAGCCAGAGCTCCCCAGGGGACTTCTCCATCTCCGTCAGGTACTCGCCATTCCCAACCCAGACTGCTAAGGCCATGAGGTGACCTCTTGAACGTGACCTGTTGCTCAGGGGCATGGTGGCCAAGGGGTCCAGGCGTCGTATCAACTGGGATGCCATTCATCTCCTTCCCATGACACATGTATGTAACTCCTCAGTAAACTGGTTTGTGGCCAGTTTACGTATATGTTCCTCTGCCTCCTCCTCTAGCTGAAGTGCTTCTGGAAGGACAGGATCCTAATCTATTTCACCTTTGTGCCTTTTCCAGTGCCTTGCACCCAGCAGGCATTCAGGGAGTATCTGTGCAGGGACGTGGGGCAGGAGAAGGGAGAATTCCCAGCTGTCCACATCTCTCTTGGGGTTTAAATCTAAACCTTTTCTTCCACTACTGATATGTGTCTGAAGAAGGCGCAGAGGAAAATTAAAATCCCAAGTCATTGTTGTAGGCGGTTGCATAAAAGAAGGACCAGCTCAGCACACCGTAATGCAGCACACTGACAGCAACACATCTGAGCCGAGGAGGGCTGGGCCGAGGGACCGGAGCAGCAAAATCTCACTAACGTGCAGCACCCGGGAGGAAATGAGTCAGTCCGGGCACAAACATGACACAGCCCCACGCTCAGAAACCCCAAGTCTGAGCGCACTGCGTGTGGTCAGCATGTCTGGGATCACAAGTCACCCATCAGGCAGGGTGACCACATGTGAAAGTGCACAAGTTAATGCTGATATCTGTACAGGAGGAGACGTGACAACCTGTACAGTGGAACCTCCTGTTAAGTTCATTGACAGGAAATGTTGGTCTGGATTATTCAGTGCACGTTGAAAGGCATATAGCTTCAGTGGTTTAGGTGTATAAATCCAATCTCGGGTAATGAACGGAGGCCACTTCACCATTTTAAATAGCTATTTTAAGGAATAGGTAGGGAGGACTTAGGAATAAGGGGTCAACAATTTGTATGCACGTGCGCCTCCAGAGTGCTCAAAAATAGCTTGTTCTCATTAGCATTGCCCTTGCAATATTGCTTAAAATCTTAATTTTCCTTAACTAAAACTTTTTTCTTTTTTCACAGCTTAGGCAACAGGAAATTTTAGCTCAGGCCAATATTGAAGTGTCACAAATTCTAAATTTGTTAGGTCTTAATGCAATTTTGCTCTATTAATAAATCTTACAGTCAAACCTCTCTTAAGGGCTCTGATTACAGATTGGACCAAGTAAGTGGTTATGTTGAAGGGCATCTCTTGGTGCCTCTGGTTTGCATGAAGTGCACTGTGGCTTTTCACCTAGGAATCGTGGGTTGTATTTCCTCCAGTAAGGTGCATTCTCCAAAACGATCAGCCTTGACTTCTGCCACAGTCTCTTACAGAAGCTTGCAGCTTCTTGTGATTATTACCATAATTGTTACTACATCTTATGCAGAAATGTAGCTTAATATATTCCAAAGCAAATCATTTTTATTTATTTATACATCTGCCTTCTGTCATGCAAAGATAATTAAGAGCTAATTGTAGTTCTATCACTTAGCATTTGTTAAGGGTCTGAAACACTAGATTTTAGAGGCTAGAGCCCTGAGTTATATCCTTTTCTCTGCCCCTCTTAGAACTTGAGACAATGGTGCAGCCACTCTCTCTCTCCATGGGTCCAGAGGGTTGGCTGCAAGCCTGACAGCCATCCTCTCAGCTCATGGAGGGGGGGGGTTAATGTTTCTCACTCTGAGTTCTTTGACTAAGAGGTGGTGGATGAATAATTATATCACAAGAATATTTCCTCCTCCACACACAGATGTGAGGAGTAATGACTATGAATTAAGCCATGTGTTGTTAGAACGAAGGAAGCATCTGTTAGTGGCCAACACCAAGGAGAAGACCACACAGTGATTGCAGAGTGTCGGTTCCTGGCCCAGAGCAGCCAAGCAGAGGTCCCTGGATGGGTTCACCTGGCCATGAGCAGAGCCTAGTCCATAAGATGAGACTGAAGAGCAATCACAATTCATGTCCCCTCTGAACATGAACCAATGAGTCCATCCTTAAGAAACCTGCACTAATCTTCAGAGGTATCTTCACTCCCCAACTCTCCTTAAATTCTTGACCTTTCTGTTGGATCAGGCAATTGGTATCATTGGTTTATTTTTAGATAGAAATGTATGCCTGTTTGACGAATAAACTTGACATTGAAAAGAGAATGCCTTGGTGATGGGGAAAGACTGGAGCTATTAGTAAAGGCCAAGTTCTCCCTTTCCAGATGAGTAACATCCAATTTCTCCATCCCTGATAGAAATATTTCCCATCACTATGATTCCAGCTGGGTCAAAAGGTACCGATCTAAAAGAACTTGGCACGTGTACGTGGTATGACAGGCTCGATTCACTGGACTGGAATCAGAGAGCCAGGGTTCTCACCTCAGCTCTGCCAATCACTCACAGTGACCTTGGCCAAGCCCCTCCACCAATTGGAGCCTCAGCATCCTCATGGGTAACATGGAGACAGGGCTAAACAACCTCAGAGGTCCTTTTCTTTTTCTTCTTTTTTTTTTTTTAAATTTATTTGACAGACAGAGATCACAAGTAGGCAGAGAGGCCGGCAGAGAGAGAGGAGGAAGCAGACTCCCTGCTGAGCAGAGAGCCCGATGCGGGGCTCAATCCCAGGACCCTGGGATCATGACCTGAGCTGAAGGCAGAGGCTTAACCCACTGAGCCACCCAGGCACCCCATCAGAGGTCCTTTTCAATCAAAACACTGCATGGCTGTATAACACTTTTCTCCCCAAAGGTTCGAAATACTTTGTAACTTTAGTTATGCAAAACATAAACCAAGACCAAGAGATCTCCATTAAGTAGAGAACCAAGTACGACAAGTTTCTCAAGATAGTCTCTTACTGTCCAGAGCTAGTTTATGGGCTTAAAAGAACTGGTTCAAAGTATTTCTGATAATGGAAAGATAACAGGGGTGAAAAACCTCTCCCCTCCAAGCCTTGGTGGAGTCCTTGGCATCATACAAGATGCAGGCGTTGCCCCATTTCAAACAAACATTGTAAAAAGTCCTTGACCTGGTCATTGTTGAAGTGCTCGGACATTTTTTTTCTTATAAAAGGCTGGCTCCAGTGTCAGAAGACAGATTATCTTCTGCTGATGTAGAAATCCCTTTGATGCTGCCTGTGTCCTGAGCAGTCCCTTGCACAAATCTTCCCCCGAGAGTTTGACTGAGCCAGCACCCCCTCCCTGTGAAGGGCAGGCACTCCACATCCCCTTTCCTGCCCCAGCAGAACTCCAGCAACCCTGGATGCAGTCAGCCCTGGGCGTGGGAACATTGTGACCATGTAATACACAATTTGGATTCACCCTGATCTCTAGGCATGAAGATGACGTTCAGCACTTCAAGGTCATGAGAGACAACAAGGGTAATTACTTCCTATGGACAGAGAAGTTTCCATCTCTAAATAAGCTGGTGGACTACTACAGGACGACTTCCATCTCCAAACAGAAGCAGATCTTTCTGAGGGATAGAACCCGAGAGGATCAGGTACGCTTCAGGTCCCGATCATCCCCAGTCTACAGATTTTAGGCAACAGGAGTCCTATGTGACCCATCAAGACAACGCATTTGATGAGCATATCCTCTGAGGATTCTGGAAGAAAGAATAAGTCCGAAGTCAGACCTCAGTTTAAACCATCTCATAACACTTCCCAGCCATGTGATTTGGGAAAGTTGTCTGATCCTCAGTTTCCTGATCCGTAAAACCGGAATGATGGTGACAGCTAGCTCATAGATGGTTGTGAAGGTTAGAGGAGATCATGTAAGCCCCTTCCCTGACATCGCTCCTAACAGTGCTACAAGCATGTCACAAACATTAGCTCTTAATTGTGGGTGCTTTGTTTTATTAGCATAGATAGTACTACATCACAGTTCCAGCCTAGCCTAGGAGTTGCCCAAAGATGAAGGCCAGGGGCCCACACACAGGGAGGTTGGAGGACCGCCTAGAGTCTGGGACTAAGGCGGTAGGTAGAGCTTTGTCACAGAAAGGGAGGCTGGGGGTGTTGGACAAAAAAACTGGATCTGGAATTCTTGCTCTTGGAACGGTGTGGAATATAGAGTATTATTTTACTAGAAAATGCATCAGACAAACCTAACTTTTTTATTTAAAGATTTATTTATTTATTTTAGAGAAAGAGAGAAAGAGCACTCAAGAGCAGGCAGAAGGACAGAGGGGGAGAGAAAGAACCTCAAGCAGACAATCTTGAGTTGAGCACGGAGCCTGACACAGGGCTGGAACCCATGACCCTGAGATCATGACCTCAGCTGAAACCAAGAGTCAGACACTTAACCAACTGAGCCACCCAGGCACCCTCAGACAAACCTAACTTTAAATCCTAATTTCATCACTAACTGTCCTTATTACCTAGCCAAGTTAAGAAACCTTTCTGAGTATCAGATTTCTCATCTGGAGAATGGAGAGAATATAATACCTCCCTCACTGGGCTGTTGTAAGGATTAAATGAGATAATACAGAGATAGCACTTGCCATAGAGTCTGGACAAGAGTAGGCAGCAAGAAAACGCTAACTTGCTTCCCATTAGCAAATGCACATGCACACAATGTATAAAATACCTTCCAAAGGAAACAACATCATTGTAAGAAAGAAATGGGAATTCTAGGAAGAAGCATTTCTGGAATAGTTAAAACAGTTGAAATCCCTGGAACGAGTTATTGGAAAGGCTTTGAGGCTTTCAAAGCAACAGGTGCTCTGGGGGAAGTAGAGAAAACCATCTCAGGCAACTAGTTGATTTTAAGCCTGAGAAGAGACAGTCCTAGGAGAAAAGGGTGTCTCAGCAAGGGCACGTCAAAGTTCAGAAAGAAAAACAAAGGTTTACTGAGACTTTGTGAATTATTTAAACCAAGAAACAGAGGTATTAATTTACCAGGATGTGCATGTAGAGAAAAGAGGGGTACCCTAAGATGCATTAAACTGAATGAAACGAGTTCATATTTGTAAAGCACTTCGAGCAGCGCCTGGCATGTACGAAGCCCAGGCCCTGTGTAATTGTTTGTGAAATAAAAATAACAAGAAAGCACGTCTGAGTCACAAGGTTGTGGTGCCATTAAGCAGAACGGCTGTGCTCCTTCCCAGCGCGTGCCCAGCGCCGGGCCTGGTTTCCATGGTACCGCAAGAGGGCTGCTGTTTGGGGCCCTATCACCAGGCTATAAATGACAGTTCAAAATCAAGCAGAGTCAATGACAGAGCTTATCGGGAGGGTAGGGTGTCCGGCGGTGTGGCAACACGCGATAAGGAGGGGTGGCATTGTGTCAGTAAAAGAGAATATTTCAGCTTGATTACAGAGAGGGAAACAAGCCCGCTGGGTAGGGACTCAATGGGTAGCCCGTGGAAAAGTGAACCAGAGAGCCCGAGTCCCCAACCCAGGAGAACCTGAGAAACTGGAGACCATTTTTGAAACCACGAGGGTCCAGACCATCGACTCTCCTGAGGCTGCCCACATGCCGGCAGCTGCTTCTGGGAGAGGTCGTGGGCAAACTCTGGAAAGAGCAGGCAGCAAGCGGGGGGCGCGGCTGGGGGGCCGGGAGATGCACGAGGGGGACGGATCTGCATCACCTTCATCATCTTCATCATCTTCTCCCAGGGTCACCGGGGCAACAGCCTGGACCGGAGGCCCCAGGGAGGCCCGCACCTCAGTGGGGCTGTGGGAGAAGAAATGCGGCCTTCCATGATCCGGAAGCTGTCGGACCACCCGGCACCGCCTCCCTCGCAGTACCCCCCGGCACCCCCAGCCCAGCAGCACCGCTATCTGCAGCACGCCCACTTCCACCAGGTACCGCAGAGGAATGACGTGGGCGCCGTGAGGTAGGGAAGACGCCCTGCTCCCCCACCCTGGGGCTGGGGCCACCCTGTCCCCAGGGGCACGGAGCATGTGAAAGTCCCCCACAACACCAGATGCAAGCAGAGCGAACAAAGGCCTGGGGGCTGTCATGGTCCTGGGACCGTGGGGAGGAGTGTCTCGGGCCGGCCCGGCCTCGTGAGGACTCACAGAGTTCATAACGGAGACCCAGGACCTCGCAACTGGCAGAAATATGATAATATGATATGGGAACTGCTCTTGGCAGAGAAGTCCCTGTGAATTCATTGGCTCCCTGCCTGAACACACACACACACACACACACACGCACACGCACGCACGCACGCACGCACGCATGCTCCTACCCTGAGGATTCAGTGAACCGTTGCTTCATTTCCCTGTCAGCGCTGTTCCAGATCTATCCGTGCCCCCTAACCCATCTGGCTGTGGAGAGCCACGAGAAAAACGGATTAACACCCACAATAGAGCTTGCTTATTTCTTTACTCCTTGCTTTGTTCCAGATGGGGTTTGGGGCCGCTTACCGAGATGGACAACACAGCCAGATAACATCGATCCTAAATTCCCTAGTGGGGCACGCAAAGCCCTTTGTAGGCTGCCCATATCTGCTTCCCCAGCCTCATCTGCTGCTGCCTCCCCCTAAACCACCCCCACCTCCCACCCTCCCCGCTCCCCGAGCAAACACACATTCCAGCAACTCTGCACTATCTTTAGTTACCAGAATGGTCTGTTGTGTTTTCTCTCATGACCTGGGGCGTTTTATATGCTCTTTCCTCTGCCTAAAATGCCCTTTGCTGGCTGATCCTTCTCCTCTAAAGCTAGAGTTCAAGTGTCACCTCCTCTAGGAAGCCTTCTCTGATTACCCTGGCAGACTTAGACATTCTCTCAGCTCGCTTATCACTCAAATGTGTGTGGTTCCCCCTCTAAACTGACAATCCCTGAAGACAAAGACCTTTTCTTTCCAGCTACATATCCCCAGTGATTAGGACGGTACCAGACACATGGTCAGCGCCTGATAAATACTCTTTGAATGAATGAAATCTGGCATCGTCTTCACAATCGAAGGTCCCTGTGCCATCCTCCACCGCCCCTGCCCCCAACACCTGGGGTTTATTGTCACCAGCAGCAAGTATCCTCGGAGCACTGGCTGTGTCTGTGGCATCTGAGCAAGGCGCTGGGGGGCCTGACAGGGACATGATGTGGTGACAGGTCCTCTGTTACGTGTGTTTCCAGGACCGCAGAGGAGGCAGCCTTGACATAAACGATGGGCACTGTGGCATGGGCGTGGGCAGCGAAATGAACGCCGCCCTCATGCACCGGAGACACACGGACCCTGTGCAGCTCCAAGTGGCCGGGGTACGTGGGCTTTCCCTCCCTGGGCTCCATGAGGACCGCCAGAGGGGCACTTAGGGCAGCGGCTGGTCCTCCCGGAGAGAAGCAAGCTGCTCAGAGCTCCCAGTGGAGGCGGTGGGAGCTCCTGGGAGGAGGAGGAGTTCCGGGGCCCAGCCGAGCCGGCGTGTCGTCCTGTCCGGCCACCGGGCCATGCCCTCTCCTCCCATGTCGGCTCCAGCTCAGGCTGTAGCGGACACGAACTGTTGCCGTTTCCCTTGCGCTGTGTCTCCCTGGGCGACGCTAGCACGGGCACTGTTCGCTTGGGCACGCTGCCATCCTTTCTGTCACCTGGAGAGAGTCAAAAGACCCGCAGAGACGCGGGGACAGTAGCTGTCAAGGATGCTCCTGGGGCCTGGGAGAGTAACTGCTCTAGCGGTGGAAGTCCTGAGTGCAGAGCACGGCTCAGGTGGGCTCTGCCGACCTCAGGCCCGGGGCTGGGTTGCGGGGTCTGCTTTCTGTCCTCGCCGAGGTCTTCGTCTCGGTGCGGGAGCCCACAGGACCCTCCTGCGGGATAGCGGCTCGGAGGGCCAGCACCCCCCCACCGCGGCTCAGCGGGACCCCCTCTGTGCTTCCCCCAACAGCGAGTGCGGTGGGCCCGGGCGCTCTACGACTTCGAGGCCCTCGAGGACGACGAGCTGGGCTTCCGCTGCGGAGAGGTGGTCGAGGTCCTGGACAGCTCCAACGCGTCGTGGTGGACCGGCCGCCTGCACAACAAACTGGGCCTCTTCCCCGCCAACTACGTGGCACCCATGATCCGATGAGGCCCTTCCCGGGGCGTCAGAGGCTGTCATCGGAAGCTGCCTGCGGGAGAGGGGCAAGAAAGAGAAGCCGGGACTATCTACACATCCGCACACGGGTGCGCGCACACGCACACACCTCTGCCTGTGTGCGCGCGCATTTTATAGTAGTAATTTATTGGCGATTTCATTGGTTACTTAGCTGATATGAAAGGAAGTCAGGCGAAGAATTAGATTCATACTTGTTTTTCTGCTCCCCTCAGTGGTGCGTGGAAGGCGGTGGGAAAGCTGGAGGGTGGGGGGCGGGGACAGGAGACTCCCAGTTCTTCCCGTCCTTCAGACGGCCCTGCTTCCTCCTGGCCTTGGCAATGTTCGCTGAGAGCAGCGGAGCGGAGATCCACACCCGGGGTTGTCCCGAAACAACAGGGTAGGGCGGGTCGGCGGGCCTGTTTCCGCTTACCTCCCAGCCCTGCTCACCTCCAGGGTTTGCAAGGCAGCTTCCCTCCCATTCTACAAGGGTGGGCTCAGCTGGGTTGAGAACAAAGGTACGGCCCCACGGGGCTGAGCTGGGAGCAGGAGGTGCTGTGAAGGCAGGACTGGCGCTGGGGGGCGGGGGGGGGGGGTTCCTGCAGCCGGGGAGAGTCTGGCCTCCCGCTCCACGCTCAGCGGAGACCTTCACCTCCCTCCAGCCCACGTTCCTCGGCTAATCCTCCTCCCTGTGGCTGACCTGGAGAATCAGAGACCCCAAGGAGCCAAGCACTGGGAGATGGAGGGATTTTCACAAATCCCCAGTGGCTTACCTGGGAGTCACCTCTGTTTCCCGGGATACCAAGAAAGCAGCTTTGAGACTCTGTAAAATGTTTGGAGAAGCCCGGGGTGAGAAAGCGGGATTTTGAGAGCCATTGTTTTATGGCAACAAGGGTGTCTCTTTGGGTCTCTGTTTGTTTTCCCATGTTTTGAGGATGCTTTGCGCAGTGGCACAGAGACAAGCCCAGTCCACGGGGGCGTTGACCTGCCGTTGCTGCCGCTGCAGCATGACCCCGGGTGGGAGCCGGCTTTGCCATGAGCATCCAGGATCCAGTGGCTGAGCCACTGCTGGCAGCCCCCCCAACAGCTGCACGTGGGGCCAGGGACACGCATGCCGCCATCTCTCTTGCCACCTCAACGTAGAATTGTGATTCCCTCGGGGTTGTGGGTGTGAAGCACCAACTGGACAGGCTCGGGAGGAGACGCCAGAGAAGGAAACTCAGTGGGACCCGGGGGGGCAGACACGTCTGCCTGAGGGCCCTGACAAGGGGTGGGTGTGTGTCTCATGAGACCTAAATGAAAGGGTGGGGTGCCCGTGCTGGTGAGGGAACATGGGGAGTGAGGTGGGCCTGTCCCTTTGTCTTCTCCCCCAGCCCTTCCTGCTCTAAGGAGTGACCAGGCAGCCATTATTGAGGGTGACAGAAGAAGGAGTTTCTGACTCAGAAGTAACTGTCAGTGTAACACAGGCTGTGTCCCTCTGACTCCGAATTCTATGGTTCTGTGATCCCTGCGTTGCCTTTGGAGGGGAAGGGAAAAAGCAGGCGCTCTGCGGTGAGTCTTGGGAGGGAAGAGAAAGTGGCCCTGAGAGGCGGGGGGAGTGCAGTGGTCTGGCGCAGCCTATAGACATGGAAGCAGGGGACACGAAGGGTAGCAGGGACATTTCAAAAGATCAAGGAGCAGCTCAAGAGGCACAAAAGGAGGGAAAGGAGGCAAGATGTTACGTGGGGCAGGTGAGGAAGACATCGGAGTAGGAGCCAGCAGGCGGACAAGCAGGGGAAGGAAGGACAGAGCAGGAAGGGAAGGAGGAATTGGAGCAGAGACAGGAGCACTGGGGAAGGCAGAGGCGAAGGATGAAGAGCCGGGAGAGAGAAAACAAGGCAAAGAAGACCTAAAAGCTATTTTGGTGCTAGGTAATGTGAACATGTTACAGTAAATAAAAGCCAAAAGTGATGTTTGATTTTACAGTATTTACAAACCATATGCTTTAAACAGCCCACAAACCCCATCCATTTGTCTGATGATGTGGGAGGACCGGCCCCAGTGGAGAGAGAGGGAAATGATTTGGTTCTGGCCTGGATTTCGTGCCTTGAAACACTTCTCAAGAAAACAATGATACGACAAATGCCAGTGTTTTGCCAGGCCGCGTGTTGTGTCTGTGGGAGTGGGGGGCGCTGGCCTGGGGAGGCTCACCCCACAGTGTGGGCAGAGCTATTGAAACCCCTAGAACTGGATGTTGAAGTCCAGCCCAGGCCGTCGGATAGTGCTAAAATGGCCTTGCCCCCGTGCATCACGTGGCAAGGAGGAAGCAAGAGTCACCCCAACCACCCATGGAGAACTAGGGCCCTTGGGACTAGGCTAAGAGGATAAGAACCCAACTGTCCCTACTTGGGAGCTGTTGGGAAGTGGCTTTGCTGGGCCTCTGGTGCTGCCTCAGGGAGCCCATGGGAAGTTGCTTTCCACCTGAGCATTTCAGTGCCAGGGGCGTGTCCTCCCAGCCTCACAAGCCACACAATCCCAGTCCGGGAAACAGCACAGATGTCTGACTTCAGCCGAAATGCTCCGCATGACCTGGGGGCAGGGAACTTCCGGAGAAAATCTGGTTCCTGATGAACCGGTTCCGTTTTCTACTCACTTGCTGAGGCTCCCTGCAATTTCCAATCTCTGGAAACTGCCACTGCCCACCCACTTTTAGATGGCCTCAGGGTGATCGAAGGCGGTGCTTCTCAAAATTTAGTGCCTGTGGATTGCCTGGGGAAGGTGTTAAAATGCAGATTCAGATCCAGTGCTGCGTGTCCACAAGCTCTGAGGTGACATGCCTTCGTCCGCAGACCAGTCTTCGAGTAGCAAGGGCACAGAACTTGACAGGGAGCTAGAGAGCCACAAAAATCAGATGAGATCTTTTTTCTAGGGATCTTCAGGCACTTTCCTCTGTTGCTCACAAATGAGACATGATTCAGAACTGCCATTATGACATCATCTATGTTTGACGGCCCAGGTGACCGACTTCAGGGTCTCCACCTCCATCAAGAATCAGGAAACTTTAGGACGACAAGCATTCAGAAAAAGTCCACACACGGGTTTCCCAATGGTGATTAGTTTAAAGATAAGCAGAGGTTACAGAAGTTGCGAAAGCTTTCTCAGGAAATCTTTAAACATAAAATGCACTTGCATCAGGTGTGGTCCTGCTTGGAGGCGAGGGAATGGCCCATGTCACTGGGGCACCGTTACATCAACTAACCCTGAGCAAAACAGGCCACAGGCCGGACAAGTTGGCCTGGGCAAGTACTTGCTATTTGCCTTGTCAAAAGTTAACACTTCAGCCTGTATGTACCAAAACAAGGACACAGGAAAAGCACGTTGTCTCGTTTCTTTTAAATACTTGTCAGGTTCTTCCACGTCTCTCCATCACCACAGCCTCACTGCCATATATCTTCCTTGGTGACCAGTCGAGCCTGGACACGCTTCTCCCAGCATATCCTCTTGTCCCCAGTCCATTCTCCACACAGATGCCAGAGTGATCCTTGTACAACAGCAGCCTGATCACGTCACTCCTCTGCCAGCCGCCACACTTGGATTTTAATGCAAGTCCCCATGTGGCTGCGGGTGGTCTGGCCCTGCCTCCCCCCTTCAGCCTCCTCTGTGCCTCTCCCCTCCTTGTTGCCACGCTCCCACCCACTGGCCTTCTCTCAGCCTCCAGATTGGTTCCCAAAGCCTCCATACCTTTTGGTCTGCCTCTACCTGGCTAACTCCTATGCATCTTCAGCCCTCAGCTTAAATGTCACTTTCTCAAATTATCCTTTCCTGACCCTAATCTAAAAGAATCCTTCCCGTTGGACTATCTGGTGGTTCCTGGTGCTTTTCCTGAACAGCACGTAAGCTGGTCTATTGGTCTATTAGACTTTAAGCTCCCTGTGGGCAGGGATCATCTGTTTTGTGGACCGTTGTATGCCACAGCATGTAGCACTGTGTTCGGTGCACAGAGGCTCCACAAATATTTGTTTAATGAATGAGCAAGTGAAACCTGCCTCGTGTCACCTATCATTCATTCTGTAACCCAAAGGTCCCAGGCCTCATGGACCCGTAGGTGCAAACAAGGTGATATTAACATCGATGCCCAAGTTACAGTAGCTTTCAGCCGCGTGCCCTCAAGATCTCCAATTACTTTGAGAGTCCACAGGAGGGAGGCTGGTGTCTCGTGTGTTTAAGCACAGGTCCGCTAACGCTTCCTACTCTGGCTAGGTTCAATTTTCCCTGAACATCCTCCGCGGACAGCGTCTTCCCGGATGCTGTCAATCCGCTGTCCGTTGCATCAGTATGTTGATGAAATACCCCAGTCCTTCAGGAAGCTAACTCTGCCCTGTAATCCATGTGGCTAGGTGGGTTGGGGAAGAGGAGGGGCGGAGAATGGCCTGTACGCAGTTCTGAGTTGCCCCTGTCCTTGGGCCCCAGAGACCCTCTACCTAGATCAGAGTTCCCCCACAGCTCATTCCCTCCTCACTGGAGCCCTCGCTCCATCACACAGGACAGAGGAAGTCCCCTTCCCCTCCATCTCTCTTGTTTGTCTCTCTCGCCCTGTTGCCCCTTCCTCCTTCTGCTGAAAAGAAATGTTCTCGTACCTCTTTGTGCAATAGATCCCGCCCACGGTGCTGGAGGAATATGCACCCTGTTGTATAATCTGGGCTGTGCTATAATTCATTCATTAAATCAACAACTATTTACAAAACACCCCATAGAGGACAGATGCAATGAGCCAGTGGGTCATCCACATCTCTCTACTCCCTCTGCAGCTGTGCCACAGTCTCATTTCAAGTCCAACCCCCAACCCCTGCCTCTGGGCTGGCCCTTCTGATCCAGCCCACTGACTTATTAAGAGAGACCTTATTAACATGCAAAGCTGATGACATCAGGCTTCTGTTCAAAAGCCTCCAGGGGCTCCCACTAGCTTTCAGGCCACAGTTTAAACTCCCAGGCTTGGCACTAATGCCATTGTGTGATCTGAATGCTGCCTGTTTGTTCAGCCACAATGCTCATCTCTCCCCAGAATGAGTCATGTTGTCTTAGAGCTCTGAGTCTCTCCATTGGGTTCCTTCTGCCTGGAATGCCTTTCCCGCATTTTTTTGGTCTAGATCAGTGAGGTCCAGTAGCACATCTGTGATGGTGATGGGCAAGTTCTCTATCTGCTCTGTCCAATGTGGCAGTCTCCGGCCACTTGCAGTCACTGACTGCTTAATGTGGCTAGTGTGAGTGCACTCAACAGCGAGATGGGGCAAGTGGCTGGCTACCTCATTGGGCAGTAGGGATCCAGACAGCTACTCACTTTGAAATACTTAGCTCAGGGCTCAAGTTCTCCACTGGGAAGCCATCCCAACTTCATGGCTGCTGTAGATGTCCCTCCTTCATATTCCTGTTCTGCTTCCATCCGGATACTCAGAACTCTAGAGCATTGTTGGGGATTCATTGAACCTGCCTCCCCCATGGGACTGAACCTTTTTTCATGCATGAGCAATTCACCCTATAAATGGTTGATGCACACGTGCATTGGTGT